GCCTCCCAAGTAGCTGGGACTACAGGCGTCCACCACAACGCCTGGCCATTTTTTTTTTTTTTTTTGGTTGCAGCCTTCTTTGTTGTTTGGCGGGCCCGGGCTGGGGATTCGAACCCGCCACCTTAGGTGTACGTGGCTGGCGCCTTAGCCGCTTGAGCTATAGGCGCCGAGCCAAGCCTGTTTCTTTATTCATAAAGTTGGGATAATAACACTACCCGCCCCACAGAGTTTAAAGAGCTAATGTATAGGACCCAGCATATAATACGTATTTTAATGTTAGTCATTATCTCACTATTTTAATAAAAAACATATTTAAATTTTTTTAAATTTCAGTATATTACATGGGTACAGATGCTTTGGCTACATGAATTGTTTTTGTACAGTTGTAGAGTGAAAGTTGTAGATGTGACCACTGCCCAGATAGTGTGCATTCTAACTGTTAGGTGTGATTTTACCCATCAACAAAACATTCTACAAAAGATATTTTGGATGAAAATTTTTATGCTTTCCCAACTTCTGAAAGTGCCGTGAAATGTCTCCTTTCTTCATGAATGTGAAAGAAATACTGAGAGGCAACATTTCTTGAGCACCTAGCACGTATTTCAGACTTTTTTTTTTTTTTTGACAGAGTCTCACTTTTTCACGCTGGGTAGAGTGCTGTGGCATCATCATAGCCCACAGCAACCTCAAACTTTTGGGCTCAAGGGATCTTCCTGCCTCAGCTTCCCAAGTAGCTGGGACTACAGACACCTGGTACAACCCCCAGCTATTTTTAGAGAGAAGTCTCACTCTTATTCAGGCTGGTCTGGAACTCCTGAGCTCAAGTGATACACCCACTTCGGCCTCCCAGAGTGCTAGGATTACAGGTGCCAGCAGCCATGCAGGGACTTCATGTTTCAGACTTTGAAGGAATATTATTTTTCCCATTTCAGAGATGCAGAAACTGACTCCCAGACGTTGAGTACCAAGATCCAGGGCACCCTCTAGTAATGGGGAAATTAACTTCTCTTTCTTTTTCACCTAGCAGGTGGGGGGGGGGGTGTGTGCAAAAGGCAACCGACCAATCGACCAATCGTACTGCATGTGTGTGAAACAGCCGCACGTGCCTGCCATGTGGGCCTCTGCCTACCTTTTTAATCAGTTCTAGGACTGTTGTTTCTCCATTTGTGCTATTAGTCTCATATAAAGACATAATTCAGTCTCAAATTTTCTAATTATGCTCCATTTATCTGCCTCTCCACCAGTCCCTACTCTTCCCTTACCCCTAAAAAAAGAGCTCTGGAAATAACATCCATTTAGCGCATAATAGTAAAGTCTAATTTTCAGATAAGCTGGAAACAGTATCTGTTAATTTGATCAGGACTGGGGGGAGGAAAGGGACGCAGGAGTGAGGTAAGAGAGTCTGGCCCTTGCCCGTAGAGGGTGTGGGAGGGAAGTGTTCATTGCTGTGAGAGGGAATTACCTGACCTGAAAGAAAATCAAGTTTACTGCAACTTGACTAGGTAAACAGCAATGGAATCCGGTTCTTCAATTTTTGATGTGGACGCTTTAAAGTAGAGTGTCACATTTTCTCTCCCCCCCAAGAGCACACACTTTTCAGAACTGGCCCCTCTCCCGCTCAGCCTCAGGCTTGGTTTCTCGGCCTCCCTCTCAGCTGCCAGGCAGGAAATGTTCCGGCCCCGGGATAAGCCTCCCGCGTAAAGGGGGCGGAATGCGGGGCGGGGAGGGGTGCAGAAAAGAAAAAGGAAGAAAAAAAAAGAAACAAAGGAAGACGACAAGTTAACTAGAGCAGCGTGCGGGAGCCCAGAAAGATCCCAGCGGGTTTCCAGCCTCTCCCCCGGAGCAGGGACCTTACCCGGCACCCGCGCCCCCTACACAGCCCGCGCCCCGCCCCGCCCCCGTGGGCGTGGCCCAGTGTATGCAAATGTCCCTCCGGGGAGGGGCCGCCGGCCCGGGGCGCCCCTGACAGCCGCGGCCGAGCCTCTGGGCGCAGGACGCGCGCTGCCGTCCGGCCGGTGACAGCCTCCCGGCGCGCTGGCCCATGCTGGTCCCGGCCTTTGTTCTGGGGCCGGCGCCGGGACATGCGCGGCTGACGATGGAGGTGGAGGACTCTGGCGGCGTGGTGCTCACCGCCTACCACTCGTACGCGCGCTCCCAGCCCCCCAGCACCGAGCCGCGCTGCGCGCCCCGGGCCTCCGCCAGCCACCCGCTCAGCAGGTACGGAGAACCGCTCCCGGGAGGGCGCCGGCGTGCAGCTGCCCCTCTGCCTGGCATCAAGTTTTGGTGGGCCAGATGAACGAGCCTAGTGCTCTTTGTATTGCCCTTGGTTGGAAGTGGGAAATGCATGAGGTCTCCACCAGCCGAGGCTGAAATCATTGGCTTGTGGAGATTAGCCGTGGAATTCTATTCTTGATAACGATTTGATAAGTAGACGTATATCTCATTCTGCCAAAGTTGCCTGTTGGGTACTGAAGAATTTAAATATTTAAAACGAAACACAAGCGGAAAAAGAAGGGAAAAAACACCTTCCCTTAAATCCTCAGAATACTCCTAGAATACCGTTGAGAGTTTCTTTACTCACTGCGTGCCACCGGAGCTGAACTCAGGCTCAGAACTCGGGTTTTAGCTCCAGTGGCGTGCAGGTAGGTAGAGAGATTTGGGTAAAAGGAAATCTCAGACTTGATGCTAAAAACCTTTCGACTGTATAAATGCAGTGGTGTCATTATTTGATTAGAGGGAATGTTGACTCTGTGTTGTAAATGCGTTCATTATTTTCCTTTGGGTCAAAAGAGATCTGTAACTATCTCACTAGGGACATTTCTGACTTAGTAAATCAGGGATCTGTGTTAAATTACTCTATCATTGTTCACCCATTTGATACAAGATCAAGGCCATTGGGACTTTCATTAGCTAAAACAAAAATGTTTAAGTGAGTAAACAAAAATATTGCAATAAGTGAGATGGTTTGAGATCTGACATACTATATTTAGGGGAAGTTTTATTCATTTACACGTGTCGACCTGCTACATCTACAAATTCTTTACAGTTGGAGTGGAGTGCTTTTTTGTCATGTTTATTTTCCATCATTGCTTCTCACACTTTCATCTTTAGTTATGTGATATTATTACTTCTGTTTCCTAATTTAATTGACTTGTGAGGTTTTCAATAGGTTTTGTGACTTTATTTCAAGGAATCTTCTTTTGGCTGTTCCCCACAAGAACAAACTCGGTTGGCATGAGATCTGTGTTGGATTTGGCTAACAAAGAAAATATTGTTTCTTTCGAAATGATCAGGTTGAGTGAAATCTCATTTTTATAAAAAGACAATGACACAATAACATATCTCTTCCAACTTTAGGAACTCCTGTTCTTTTGAAGGCCACTTGAAGATACAAACTTGCATTTGTGTTTTGAGTGTTTTCTAAACATAATCATCCTCTGTAATTACTCAGATTGTGAGTGACTAAGATATTAAATAGTTTGTGGAGAAACATGGGCCAAGTTTGCATTTTTAAATGGTTCTGGTGTAACTGTCCGTCTATAACTCCCAGCAGCTGTCTAAAAGTACAACCAGATTATGCCACTTGGGCTATTTGAAACTACATGGGTTTCCAAAGCAAACTGGAGAGTTCTATTAACTCAGCATGTGGTCTTGTGGAATGATAATATGCGAGAGCAAGAGAGCTGCATGTCAGAGCTAGAATTTTACCATCACGTTGCCAGTTAGATTTATGTTGTTCCAAGTTTGCATTTTTGGCAGCTGCTCTGCCATGTCTCTGTAGGAGTCTAGGTGCCCTCTCCTGCAGGTGGAAGAGACAGAGAAACCCCTCCCCCTACAGCCACATCACCAGAGAATAGCTTAATTCCTTGGTTCCCATCAAAAGCCATCAAAAAGAGGTTCCTGTATTTACAAGGAGCCAGAGGACTCCACACCATTAATCATGAGTCTGGTAACAGAAATAATCAGGCCCAAGTTATTAACCTTTGACTCACTAACTAATGATCAATACTTCCTTTCAAGCCAAGAAGCAAGATCATATTGTTCTGCTTCTGAGGAAAGCACTCTCTTTTTCAAGAATATCCTTCCCTTCTAATTGCCTACGTATTTGTGGAGTAGTGACCAGTATGACACTAGAAAGCATGGGCTATTGTATCTGACTTTCTAAGTATTATTATTCTCTTGCTTGTACAGATTCAATTCAAATCAAACCATTCTTTCTTATTTCCCAGGTCTCCACTACATCTGAGTTTAGGTTTTTGAGGGTCTTTTGGGGGTACGGGCTATTTCACTAAAATATAAAATAATCTCTTTTTCTCTCTCTCTTTGAATTTTATTCATTTTTTTCCTCTCTTGTATCCTAAGTGTCTAGAATAGTATCTGACACAATAGTATTTATTGTGTACCTGAATAAATATTTGCAGAATTAATGAATTCCTACCGAGATTATAAAATGGCCACGATAAAATTTTAACCACAAAACTCAGCTTA